AGGATGTGGTCAAAGCAGTGGAGAAGGTCAGAGAGGCCTTGAGAAGGACATGGAACTTTCACTGACTTGTAACCACGGAAACTGGAAGTGAGGATATTTGTTTTTTTGAAGGCGATTTCTATTTTGCCAGTGGATTCCAGAGTTTCGTTGTTGTGAAGGATACATCCCAAGTCATCCAATCCAAATGGCATCACAGAGCTGTATTTTGCAGATGTTTGTTGCAAGTTGTTGCAAAATCCTTGTTGGTGAGAACTTTGACAGGCCAAAGAGGCTTGCGAACGTGGGCTCTCTCGCCAGGAACCGTGCAGTGCTTAGGGTTTGGTTCACGGTTTAGCTCAAAGGCTACAGCTTCGAGAATCGCGAGGTTTTGGTCGTTGGTGAGTCATAGTCACTTGGGTTTGAGTCAAAACCCAACTGCAGAGACAACTGTGGCCGTCAACATACAAGGAGCTTTTCGCCGCAGTATTTGCAATCAGGCCGGAACAGCCTAGAGAGCTACGCTCGGCTTGCCCGGCCTTTTTTCATTCAGACCATGTCGACATTTTGCCAACCCGATGCCCCTAGTAGCGTTCTTGCTCCTAGTAGCGATGCCCTTGGTTCCTAGTAGCTTCTTGTTTCTAGTAGTAAGGCCAGGAGCCCCTAGTAGCGTGCTTGCTCCCAGTAGTATGGCCAGGAGCCCCTAGTAGCGTCCTTGCTCCTAGTAGTAAGGCCAGGAGCCCGTAGTAGCTTCTTTGTTACTATATTCTGGTGAAGCACTTGATAGAATTCTTCTGGATTGCTCAAGTGATCCAAGATGCCAGGAAGTTGTTTGCGCTGCTGCTGGACGAAGGCGGTTCAAACTTAGTCCGGGCCTAAACAAATTAGACCATCACAGGGCTACTGGTACTTGTCGAGTAGGTTTTGGAATTGTTTGGGACCTAATTCTTCCAAATGATCCTAATTTGTATGTTGGAATTACCCAACAACAGCTCTCCAGGGATTCCCTTGATATCATCAACCCCTCCAACCACTGTTTATTCTTTTGGGGTTCTTGCTGTACCTGTGCGAATACCGCGTGCTTGGTACCTTTATCGGCCCAGCCGCAAGTTCCAAGACAACTGAGCTTCCTGAGTTGGAGTCAGTAGTATCATTACAGTGCTTGCAGAGTGACCGGCTCGCCCCAACGAAATGACACCATGTCACTGATCTCACGACCTAATTACTGATGTATATGCAGTACATGTCATTTGTGGCGCCAAGCAACGCCGGGTCGCAGTGCAACAACGACCAAGATTCCGATCATGTGCCCTCGATGTAGCTGTCCGGAGGGTCTGAAATGACGCCACAAGCATGGCAGCAAAACTTGTAGCAGCTTCTTCCACCACGACTGGCTGTAGTAATTTGAATTGTATAAACATTTTTAGTTTTGGGACAATGACACTGCCAATCCCTCTCCTCAACGTGCCCAAACACTTGTCGGTGAAGGGGCTTCTGGTCATTTTGCTAGAGGGGCTTGCGGGTGACCAGGGCAATTTGAATCCACTTGATTGTATCCCTTTTCCTTGTCATTCGGCTGATTCATGTCCGTGATTCGTGTCCTGACACTCTTTGGGTTTGAACAGACACAATCAATATGCAGCGACGGACAATCACTTAGTTGTGCTGGTGCTAGTGTTCCTGAGGCCTATTTTGTTCAAAGTGTAAGTCTTGTGTCCTAACTGTAGGCTCTTCCGCTTTTAATCTCTCTGGGGGACACAGTGGTTGCCCGTCACCAAAACACTTTCTAAGCACCAAACATGTAGATAGAACAAGCACCAGCACATTTTCTAAGTGATTGCCCGTCACTGCACATCATGTCATTCGTCCACCAATGCCTGAGGTTGGACAGCGCCAGCTGAAAAAGATTCTGCGCATCACCCTCAGATCAGCCCTGTCAGCAGACCAAGCAAACCCATTTCGTGAGGTGGGCTTGTATGTTCTTCATTATATATATAATTATATATATATATACATACTAGTCCACAATTGTAGCGAGAATTGACTCTACCTTGCGTGCACTAGGCCTATCCGCAGATATGTGGTTGCAGCGCATGATCCTGCGTCAGCCTAGGGCAGAAACAAATGTGCAGGGATAGGATATGAAGTCCACCATTTTTTGCTCTGCTGTTTCTTGGAGTCACCTCCAGTTGTAGAAGCTTTTGTATGTTTGTGAAGTCAGTAGCCAACCACACAAAACTCCACAATACTGACATGGTCGATGCTGCATCTTGTTGGCCAAACCATGGAAAGCTTCAGATTTCAGATAAACATGTGCTTGGAGGTATGGACGGGCATTGACAATCACTGTCTTGGAGCCCGACTACAGTGAGGACTCGACAAAGCCACTCGTTGACTCGTGGTGCATGGTGAGGTTCATTCTGCGAGTCGTAGCATCAGGAGTTGCGCAGCTTTGTGGCGATTGAAGACCTCACGTCCTATGCTCCTTCTTTGCAATGCATATTCTTATGGGGGAAGAAGGAACTTGAGTGAGAGCAAGGGTTGCTGATATTCCACTTGGATATTCACTGATATTCACTGTGGTGATAATTGTTTCCGTTTGATAACGTATTCCAAAAAAACTGCAGCTCCAAACACTATGTCTCAAGGTCATGGCAGAGGAGGACCAGGGCACACTGCTTGTCATCAGTTCGTGCAGCAATTATGTCGCTCCGCAACCCAGAATCATGGCAAATTCTGCAAGTCCTTGCACGAAGAGTTCGTGAACGCCACCGTGTTGCAGGATTTGCAGAAGATGCCGAAACTTTGGACTCAGAGCGCCCTGCAAGTGCAGGTCCCTTTGGCTGGAACATATACTGTACCCATGCTAGGTCAGAGGGTCATTGCAGGTTGAGGCTGTTGGGGGCAGTGCTGCGTGACACATGTCAAAGGCCTTTGTCAGAACTTCCGTTTGGTGATTCGGCTTGGCATGCCGAGCTGTTTTTGGTTGTTGCTATGGTCTAACAAGGTTACAACGCTCCCAGCAACAGCTACTGGTTGGAGCTCGGTCTTTGTCCAAACAGACCCGAAGAAGAGGTATTTTGTCAAAGTTGTGACAGGTGGCTGCTGCCAACGAAGCCGGCCAGTCCAAATGGACGACGCTCAAGGCTGGAGATTGACTTGCGCTGACTTTGATGAATCAGCTATTAATGATGTTTTTTGTTGAGGCGACACTTTCACGTAGATTTCAAGTCAAAACCACAGTTTTCGTTCTTTTGCCGCCAAAACTCAAAGTTTGAGGGGAGCCAATTAGTTTTTTGCCCACTCTCATGTCATTCGTTTTTGATCGCCGAAACACTGGCGACAGCTGCGCAGATCCCACTCACCGGCGCATTGGCGGGGATCGCCCTTTCAGCGCCAGCGCCGCCGGTGATCTCTCCACCTGGTCTGGGTGGTTCTCGGCCTCCTGGCCCAGCCGGTGGCTTTACCAGTGCGGCCACCATGCGGAATAGGACCACTGCGCTGGGTGAGAATGATGTTGCTGCCTTCGACAAAGAGCTGTTCTAGACTCAGTTTGAAGGATTGTTCAGCTTAGAGCAGAATCTAATTTTTGGGTGCAGACAGATGTGTGGTGGCAATTCCAGCGCATGTTGGCTTTCTTGCGTTTCAGGCGAAAGCTCAAAGGGCATGCGCGCTTGAGAGCCTTCTTGGAACCCCACAAGAAGAACATTCTTCAAGAGTGGTTGCGATCCGTGAACTGGTCTTCGATGGGTTCCAAGCAGGAGACTTTAGCAAGTTTTGGATCGGCGCTTCCACTTGTTTAGAATAAGATTTAGAATATCATTTTGCATTGCTTGTGGCTCTACTTTCTTTTCTTTTTGACAGTGCTCCTAGACCCATCCAAGGCCTACGCTGTAAAGTAGATTTGAATATATTTGAGACCCCTATTACATATATTATTTTTTGATATGCAATGTAACATATTCTTTTACTTGCAGAAGATCAACTTGTACCAGTTCCCTGCTAAGCTATGCCTTGGTTTGTGAACTTTTGCCTTCGAACTTTTTGCCTGCCCTAGAGGACCTTGTGGAGAGAGTCATTTTCATCCGTGAGGCGATGGTTTGTTGAGCACGGCTGGCTGGGGGGGGTTGGCTTGGGGGTTGCCGAGATTCAACAACAATTTGCCGGCTGATGGCATCAGGAAGTGGACACGATCACTACAGTAATTGAAGTGTTTGAATGAATGGAAGCAGCTGGCAACCTCCAATTGCAAGTGTCACTGGGAGCCGATTTATGGGGAACCATCGGCGAAGCGTTCTGCGCTCCAGCAGTCCCTTCCTCGACTGCAAGTGTTCAGTCAAAATTGCCGATGCTTTCCAACTGCACGCTTCCATACCGCGAGCAAGTCCTGTCAACGCATATTTTACTTCTCCATTCAAACTGATACTTGACCATTCAAGACCATCTCGGCTGAACGAACACTGCACGAGTTGAGCAACCACACATGGAACAAGTGCAACAAGTGAATCTTGCTTTAGACCATCGGACGTGTTGAACACCACAATGAAGGTGTGACGGACAGTTAATTGATGTGACTCACTGACTCACTGAACACTTGATTTCTTACTGTATGACTGTATGATCTATTTTGGACGGCACCCGGAGCATTTGATTCTTTTCAATTTTCAACTGGCTGACATTATAGCTAAGAACATGCATCTTCCATAGTTCAAATTTGGACCCATTGGCTTGATAAGCTTGCTCCACCTTATTTTGTTCAGGAGTAAGTTTTGAAGGCTGGTTTCCGGGTTTGTGACTGCATGGCCCGGACTACATGTCCCTGTTGCCATGGCTGCCGTGGCTCTTGCTAGCAGCACGAGGGCAGCCAGGGCCGCAAGGGCAGGAGTTTCCCAAGGCCAAACTCAGTCAGTGATCAAACTGCCGAAAACCACTAAACCACTGACTGATCAGATGGACTGACCAAACATGCTCATCAGGGACTGCTCGTCATCGAGGGAGATGCCGCGCAATTTGTGGATCGCCATATGGTCCCTGGGCTGAAATTCAGTGGCGAACAAGCGTGCTTGCAGAGGACCTTTGCATCAATCACCGATCAATGTCACAACCGGTTGGAGCCATTTCATTCCCTTGGCTCTTTGGGGAAACCGTGCATGCTTTGTTTTTGTTTGATGACTCGAAGGTAACCCAAAGCCACCAAGTTAGATGCTGCATGTGTCACAGAGTTACTAGTCGCTCAGTGGCATGAACTTCGCTCCGGTGCCAAGGAGCCCCGCCATGCTGTGGCCGTCGCCACTGTCCCAAAGGGCTCAAAGAGGCACGACCTCCTGGCAGATTTGGCAGAAGACGAGGCAGATTTTGCACGAACGGCGAGATGCAACGTTTCCTACATCAGCTGCATGTTCTTCAAGTGCACTGATCAAATACCATTTGAATTTCAATCGTATCAGCGCTATCAGCATTAGGACTTGAGACACCTCCTTGCCATTGGAGTGACCTTTGCGAAGGGCAGGTCTGCTCAAGTCTTGCATTCTTCATTGAGTAACCAGTATCAGTACCCAAGCAACTTTGCATACTGTCACAGTCGAGCATTTTTTCAAAACATGTGAATTTGATCCGGTATAAGACCAAGGTAACGAAAACACGTAATCCTGTTTCTTTCTCCAATTGTCCTTTTTTACGAATGGGGGCAAGGCTGACAGCTGATGGATTTCTCTGCCGGTGCAAAGTAAGACATAGAAAGACATATGCCGCATGAGTCTGGTGATTCCTAGTAGCGTCCTTGTTACTACTAGTAAGGCACCTGTTACTAGTAGCGTGGCACTTGTTCCTAGTAGCTTCTTGTTACTACTAGTAAGGCACCTGTTACTAGTAGCGTGGCACTTGTTCCTAGTAGCTTCTTGTTACTACTGGCACAAAAGTAAATATGCCGCATGAGTCTGGTGATGATTTGCAGGACTTCTCTGATGGCCGAGATCTCAAGCCAGGGCACTTGCCACATGTGGTTGTCGCGAAAGACTCGTGTGCTTGCAAAGAAAAAACAATATATATATATATATGCATGTCTGGAATTGAAAGGCAGAGATGCCAAACCAAGACTTCAGACTTCAGTTGTTGCTAAAGTCATCAATTCAGTTTTGGTGACTTCCAGCAGATCAAGCTTTCTTCCAAGGTTCAGAGATACCGCTATGATCGGCTACGGTATGAGGGCAAGTGGATGCTAGACTAAGACTCAGCTCGAGGTTGGTCAGCGAGTTGTGAGGTGTTGCGTGGGATTGCAGTATAACTCAATGGCATCCCCAAGCTGCTAAAACATTAGTTGTTTCTCTCCAGTGGGTATTCCTTGTTACTACTAGTAAGGCACTTGTTACTAGAAGCGATGCACTTGTTCCTAGTAGCTTCTTGTTACTACAAGTAAGGCACTTGTTACTACTAGCTATTGAGTTGAACCCACCGGAGAGGATGTCTTTGTTTTCCAAGGACCAAATCAGCGATCTTCTCGTGGCTACAGGAGGTGGCCTATCCACCTGTGAATCACCTGCCACAGTTTGCTCCCACCAAGTTCCTGCCAGATTCTGAGAGCAACACACAGGTAACTAGAGTGACCTGATCGGAAAGCGGGACATAAGTCTTTGCCGTCGCTTTTGGAAGGTCCAAAGGGGAACACCAGTGGATTGCCTGTCAAGTCACGGGTAATTATTACGTGCATGTGGCATGTTTGCATGTTTCTGCACAAAAACACTGGCGACCCGACGTTCATAATTAATTACATCATACATCATAGATTCATATATAAAAGTTCTGGATGAATACCGGTACAGGCAGAAATCTGAGGAACTTTCTGCCTGAAACATCATGCATATGCACACATTAGCCACCAAGTGCCGGATGAGGCAATGCCCCTTTTTTTTCGTGAAAAATGCAGAGAAGAAAAGAAAGCTTCTTGTTACTACCCAGTGAAACGATTCCCAGTGAAACGATTCCCAGTGAAACGATTCCCATAAAGTTCAGATTTGTCCAAGCTTCAGCAACATTCCCACTCATTGGAAGCCGCTGGCAATCTCCCGACATTTCACGATGACCTTCCACAAGCCTCGCAAGACTGGCCCACCCTTGCATCCTATTCTGAACTTTCAACATTTGCAGCCTTGCGGTTGTAGATGCAGCCACGCCGCCGCCTTTGAACAACAAATGAACTAGAGTTGTGAGAACAACATTCGTTGATTACTTTGCTTTCGCAAGCCTTGAGCTCCTGCCTAGTTCCTGTCTGCTGGGAGGCTTATGTAACCGACCCGCTAGAGACTTAGACTCAAATTGCCCAAACTCTACAAATGAGGACCCCCGGGGCGTGTGACTTGCCCAACAGGTGGCCCAAGGATTCTGTTCTGGCTGCGTGTGTAAGGACCAAGAATCCCTTCAGCATTCTGCTGGTCGTGAAACCTGTGGGCACCCATGGGCCTGAGCTAGCAAAGGCGATTTCAATCGTCCGGCATGTTTGAAGACAATTCAGTTGCTTTTCGCAACTTTTCACTTTGGTTGAAGAACAACTGGATTGCTGGGGAATTTCTTTTTGACATTTTTGTTGACTCCCTTTTGCACATGGCATGTCAGCATCCTGTGCATCCAGTTATCAAAGATGCGGCAAAGAGGCTTTGGAGCCTCATGCTGCGCGGCTTTCTCGCAGACTGAAGGTGGATCTTTCTCATTCAAAGAAAGACTTGATCAGAAGCATGATGGCGAATGCGAATAAGCAAGCAAAACAGCCACAACAAGGGTGCAGACGTATGCATTGTTTAGATGAAACACGCATGCAGGTTTGGCAGTTGCAGGCAAATTTAATCAAAACCACATGTATGTCTTGCAAGTTGCATATGGTTGCATGATTGCTAGCGAAGCTCCATACTTGGAATTGCTCTGTGGCACAGCTTCGTTTGTGTAGATAGATGTCTTGAAGTGGAGTAGCTCAGTACAAATTCACGAGGGCAGGTTTGCCAGGCATAAACATGTTAGCCTGTGCAAACAAGTTGTGTGAAGAAATGATGAGGAGACGGAGGATTGCAGCATAGGAGGTTCTGTGGTGCAAAGAGATTTGAGAGGGGAGGACAAGGTCCTAAGGTGATCATTTTTTGGCCAGATCCCGCCAAAAAAGGACACTCACTACCTTTGTACATCTATACACACATGTACAAGTAACATGCGATGGAATTCGTGCAGCGTACACTGTACACCATGAAACTTGAGTTTCGTCATATTGCAAATAGCTGCCCCGGACTGGTGCGCAGGTCTCGTTCTTCGCTAAGACCCCCGCTACGCAGCAGTTGTGTGATATCTATGGCGCTGCCCTGGCTTGTATTTGCCACTTCCAGCTTTCAGTGGCACTTGCAAACAGAAGCAAGGGCATGGAGGGTATGGCCCATGGCATGTAGTACGGTGATGTGGGGTGTATACTCTGGTGTCGTGATCCTGCTCAATTGTGTTTGGATTCACAGGTACGAACATCCGACGAGTTTCTCCTCATAGAGGCTCCCCAGGAGCTCGAAGTCTTCGTGGATCAGCGTCACTTTATGGGAAACCAGACGTTCGAACACCGACTTTTGTATTTTTTAGCGCGCCCTTAATTAAGTAGACTGATTCTTTCCAATTTGCAAGGAGATGTCCCTGAAGAAGCTGGGTCACAGTCATGTGCCCAGGTCGCCCAAATACCGTGTTGAGGCAGAGACTCCACGCTTAGTCCAAGAATGTCCAAGATGTCTCCCAGAATGCCTTGTCTTCTGGGCTTTGCGACAATCAACGCTTCAAGATTTCCTTGGCGCCAGAACGTGACAGCTGGAGACGTTGACCGATTCTTCTATGATTATGAGTCAGGCACTGCAGATGTCCAGATGGCAGACGACGTTCTTCTGATTTTGTAACGTCCAATGCAAAATCTGATGCGCTTCTCCAGCCTGCGCCCCAACCAGGGCTATTGCCCAGATACCTGATGTCTTACAAAGAGACTGAGCCTCAGCGACTACCATTGAAGGTTGTACATCTTACCAAGAGAGTGATAAGAACATGATGTAACTTGCCCACGTTCCAAGGACTAAGATGTCTAATCTTGAAGGTTTACGCGAGCTGACAGGTGCCACTGAGAGTTTGCGTTGCCTTGTGAAGACTGCAGTCTTGGGCTCGCTGGCTCTAGACGTTTTGTCATAGGACACATCCGAAAACATCCGAAAACCTTGAAAGAGTGTGAAACAACACCCAACCATCAACTGATTCTTCCTGCAGGTGAGGATTTCATCCAGGCGGTCCAGAATCCGCAGGTTCGTCCGGGAACGGGAAAAAGAGAACGGAAAGAGTATAGGAAAAGTGTTTTCAGATTTGGTCCGAAGACTTCGTGTGCCTGTAGAATCGGAGAAAGACAGGCCTCTTCGAGAAGTCCGTTTCTGACGGATGTGACCAACCTTGGACCGAGCACAATGAACAATGAGACCTGACACGGTACAAGACCAGCCAAAGGAGAGTCGGGCACGGTCTCCGGAGTGATCTGCCGGGGGGGCGTCCCTCTTTGCTCCCAAAGCCCAAAGGGCCTTGCCAAAGGGCCTTTCTTAAGATCCGCACTGAAGGAGTAAGGGGCGAGTTTTTGAAGTCTGGCAAGTTGCAGTCGGAGCCAGTCGGAGCAAGCCACGCAACGCATGCTCTTCAGCCAGGCCTCTGTCCTTGTAGAATTTGTGAGTATCCCAGATGCAAGGAGTAGAGGAGACCTTGGACAGCCGATTTCGGGTGTTTGGTGTTCGCCACTGCCAGATTTGATCAAGAAAAGGTGGCTTTTGCCCGCGTTTGCCACTGTGAGAATGCAAAACTACAAAACTGGAAGATACTGTAAGGTTGGGAGTATCAGTTCAACACCAAGATGAAAACAGGTTGATCAGATAGCAGTTGCTGGATTGCATTAGGAACAATAGGTTTTGGAGAATGGACATGAAGCAATCAAGCACTTCTTGGCACTTTCCTTGCAGCGATTGGCATTCAGCTCATTCAGTACGTTTTGACGGGCAGTGTTTTGGCGGCGAAAGAAAAAGAACACTGCCCTTATCTGAGGTGAGAACTGCGAGGCTTGGCCCAAATCTCTTGTTGTCGTGGCCCGGCGGGGGGGTAGGCCGTAAGAGGTAGCGGCTTAAGTAAGCTCCTAGTAACTGGACGCAGGATAGCTCACGCTTCTTCAAGGAAGCTGTCCCCCGCCCATAGATGGGGGGAGCTTCGTTGAAGAAGCGCTCGCACTAACCATTTGGTTCCTAGATTTTTAATGATTTTTAGACAAAGGGCACATGCCATCACTTAGATGCCATTGCTCAGCAAATTTCGTTTTAGAACTGCTCCGGTGTGGCCAGGCCTGCAAGGAGTTCGACGCAGCGTACCGCGAGGTCGAGCACATGTTGTGAGTCGTTTATTGCAGAGAGTTTGGACAGATTCCCCCAGCTGCACCTGTTTTACTTGCACATAGAGGTGCAGTGAAAGGTGTAAAACTCCGTCCATTTTTTCCGCGCGACTTTCTACAATCCAGGTGGCGCGGAAGGTGCAGCAACGCAGCTTGCTCCGCCAACGGCACCCTTCAATGTCCAGTACCTGGTGTCAGATGAAACTGATAACCACTGATGCGAAATGGATGGACTGTGGCAACTTCAGTGGTTCCTGATTCCAAGAGAGAAACATTTGATAAACATCCTTGTGTTCCTTTCTCGCCCAAAAGCCGAGCGTGAACATCATCCAAGTCCGAGCGTTTCCTTTGGAGGTGTGTTGGACGTTCCTCAGGTCGCAGGTGATCATTGCAAGAATGGACCAGTCCGGATCCCGGGTTGCGACTAGCGCGTACAACTGTCCAGACTCCGACCGTTTTGGGTGAGAGACCATGAAAGACCTAGACCATGATTGACATCCATTCTGGCAGTGATAGTGCCTTTTTGGCCAGGGTGTTCTGGGTCTATCGATCCAAAAGAGCCCTGGACTCCTGACTCCTGGCACTCCTGGACCCCAAAGCCCCACAACTGGCTATTTGCCACCTCTCAGGTCAGCGAACGAGCACACAGAGTTGATTAAGGGTACGCCCTGGTTGCGCTTTTGGCAGCGGCTGCCACACCCGCTCAGTGCTGATAAGAAGAAGCGGGGTGTCGATGTGGAATTGCGAAGCGCTTGGCACTTAGTAGTTTCAGAAGAGGTAGCACTTAAAGAAACCGGGACAAGATAAGAAGACACTTCCTCTTCTGCTGGCTCTGCACTTTGAACGAGTGCAATTTATTCATAATTAGCCAGTGCAAAACTTGAGTACTCAGCCGCAAAAAGGGACAAATCCTCCCCCGCTGAAGTGGTCCAAGGTCGACACTATATTGGATTTTCTGGATGAACAGGAGCCAGTGACCCTCACATAAGCCTTACGGCAAGTTCAGATTTGCATCAGGTGTGTGAGCCTTTGTTCAAACTGATTCCGTGGGTTCATGAACAACAAACATGAGGAACCATGCACAGCGAAGACAGCTCTTGCGTCAGGAGCTTGCAATTCAGGAGTTGGAGGAGCAACTTTGCTCATGACTCATGAAGACAGTCTCAGCTCGCCGCACATACATGCTTTTCTGATCTCGTCAAATATCTCGTCTTCAAATGGGTATGGCTCCAAAGTGGATACCTCATGAAACATGAAGTTGGTAGAAAACTCCTGACCTACATTGTCATTATAGCTACTATGTCTTGATTGTGACGGAGTGCAGGAGCGCTCCCCTTCCGAAGAGCTTTGAGAGCGCCAAAGTGTGCTTGGACAAATGAGAAAAGGAGCAGAGCTTTTCAGCCGCGGGAGAGTCGAGTTTGATCAAGTCATGCGATTCGATGCGATTCGATGCGATCTAGCTAGCTGGCTTCAACCTTTCGCGTGTCGGAGGGTTTCGGGCAATGTTTCGCGGAGTGCATCGCAAAGTGTTTTTGCAGTGTGTCTTTCGCTGGCAGCTTCGGATCGGATCCGGCGCTTGACGTTCCCCCTTCACCGGAAATACACCGGTCCATTAGGGCCGGGCGGCCAATCCAGATGGGTGGCCGCGCCCCACCGATCCAGCGCCTTGAGCCATGCGAAGCTCGAAATTCGTCCAAGCATGGTCCGGCTTTGACAAACTGGGCGCAGCCGGCATCAACTGTCCTGAGTAGGCTACCTGATAGTCTGTGTAGCCTTCCCGTCGCCTCCAATGTAACTTCGCGTTAGCATTTAGCACAGATGCTCAGCAGCCAATTTTGTTGCCCTAGTCTTCAAGCATGTTCTGTTCGAATGGAAATCAAGGCAGTCGCAACCCCGGAGTCCAGTGTATCATTTAGAATTCCAAGCTCGTCGAGTTCGAGTTTCCGTGCATTCCCATGCAGCTCATCCACCATCAGGTTCTGATCTTGCCCCGTGCGTTTGGAGTCTCCCTTGCCCCTCTGAAGTTTCCTGTGCTCGGCGAAGAACCTCAGGTGCGAGTGTGCCTCCCTCTTCAAACTTGACAAAAAGTCACGCAAGAGAATTCGTCTCTTCGTTGTCAAGGCTTAGTGGTGGCCTGTGATCTCTCAGCCGCGTGATTCAATCTCTGCGCACGTGACACGAGGCCCGGGTAAATATACCTTTCCCCTGCATGTCTGAATGCTGGCAGGCCGCTTTATCACTCCAATGCTTTTGTGGCTGCCGCTGGTAGAGAAACACGATGGTGGGATTCGGTGGGCTTAGGTGTGCGTTACGCGCTGGTACAGTGGGGGAACAGTTGGTGGTTGCGCGCAGTGGCAGGCCTGAGCAGTTAGGTGATGTTAGGTGTGTGGTAGGTGGCCTGAGTGGTGCGTGGTAGGCAGTCCATAAGACCGCTGAGGGTTGCACGTCGGACAGGGTTCTCTCCTGGCTTCGGGTTCAGCGGAGGGTTGCAAATTGCGCTTGTACATTGTAGCTTGAGTGCCTTTGCGTGCTCCTATTGGTCGTGTGGTGAAAGAGGGGATACAATGTAGAGGTATTTGTCCCCTCCCGTCCACCTGGAACAGATCTGCAAAAATTCAAGGGAGCAAACGTCTCAGCAGACGAACGAAAAATGCAACTCCTTTTGGCGTCATGTCCTTAGCTGGTACCGTCGTCTCGCCAGGCTTGTAAAATTGAGCTTACACGATGACATGATGCATGTGTTTTGCCGTTTTGCCTGTGAAACCGTGAGACCTCAAACTTCACAAACTCAGCGTCAACAATGCCCATGGGCACTCTTACAAGGTAAGAAACATAGAGCCAGGAAAGAACTGTGGCAGAAGAGGTCGTTGAGATTAACTTTACATCCAATAACGAAACAGAAAGCCCAAGCGGCGTGATCCAAGAATATGGCGGAGGGGTTTTGGCGGACTCAGGTAATTGGGGGGCCACACGCACCCTGTAATTCCAGGACAAATACAACACACATTTTCCAGCGCACCAAAGCACCCCAGCCCAACTTTGTGCACGGCTTGCAGAAGATAGGGGAAACCAGCACCACAAATCATATCCTCCAACGTAGATGATGACTTTGCCACGAAACAGCTTGTGTTTTGTCAGCAAAGTTAATGCTGTTAATTGGACGGCTGTTGTTGAGTTATCGTGTCTCGCGGCCAGGGTTCTGAAATCTGGCCTGTCCAAAAAATGCGCGGCCGACGAAGTTTGAACACAACGTGATAAGGCGCCGGGGGTCAAGGTCGTGATGCACAAGAGTTGCACAGCCCGTATGGTACCACATCGCAAAACCTCACTCCCACACAAAAAGAAGTTGTGAAGGTCACGAAGCTACGAGAAGCCGCCAAGTCCTCCTTCGCAAGACCCCCTTCGCCAGGCTTCCTTCGCGAGGCCTCCTTTTCTAGTTTCCCTTGCGAGTCCGATTGACCCAGCCTTGGATGTACGGGGGGCCAGGGTGGGGTTTAGATTTGCCTGTTCCCAAGATTGCCCTCACTAGACCTTTTTGGGTGGTCCTTCTGCAAGACCACCTTCGCAAGTGCCATTCACGAGAGCTTCTATGAGACCCCCCTCCGCAGCGCCACAGCGCCACACCCTGCACAGTGCCCGCAGCGCCAACAGCGCCAACGGCCCGGCTCGCAGTGTCACAGTGCCGCAGTACCAGTCGTATTCGTCCCGGGTTTCCAACCCCTCTGTAAAACAGACAGCGGGCACTTGTCACCTGAACGGAAACCCATGTCCTCCTCCGTCAGCAGAATGAGAATGGCAAGATCACGCAGCGTCTTCGTGAATAATCTGCCTCAGTCAGGGAAATTATTTGGAGATGTCCTTGATTCTCACTGTGTGTTTCCACGGAAGTATCCGCGAAGCAAGTCCCTGAAGGCAATGGCAGCCTTCCAATAACTCTCCAACGTTACCATCGTTTCTGAGGCGAATGTGGCTGGCAGGAACCCTGGTCCCAAGGCTTTTGGGCCGTGGTTGCATGATCTGGTTTTATGTTTTTGTTATTTAATGTATGCTGCACTGACTGGTGCCTAACTAATGCGGTACTGTTGCAGGTGGCCGGGTGGTCGCTTTCCAAATTCGCACCCGCCCGACAAAAACTGCACATAATTGCGCACTTGATTTTGGAGGAGATTTCCGTGTGTTCTAATGTGCCGTGGCACCGGCCACCGCCACCCCTACCCTACCTCCGAGCCTTTGTTGTTTTAATGCGCTCAGTCTCATGGTCGAAAAAATAGAGTTGAACCAGCTGTGGTCTGGAGCAGGCAGCCATATTTAGTGAGCCGGGCACCATCGCAGCGCAGCGCCAAGACATGTGACCAACGCAGCGGTGGGTCACGTTGTCAAAGCTGCGTGAAAGACGGGCGAGAATGTCTCACGTTTAGGTGTGCGGCCCGTGGCAAATTTCCGGCCACCCATGCTTACTCCTGGAGCTCGGGTTATTTC